AGCTCGCGTCTGGCTCAACTCTGAAGGAGTTTTGCATCAGCTGGTTACCGGTGTGTTTATTCGGAGCGATTCTATCGGCGTGACAGAATGCTTAGTGAGGCTGGGGCGGCCGACCCTCGTCCTCTGGGATGGTTCACGAGCTGAAGTTCAGCTGCAGCGATTTGGTTTTAACAAAAGCTCAGAACACGCCCTCTCAGCGTTGGAAAGCTTGATGTTATGGAGCAAAGACGTGTGAGGTGGTTAACTTTACCCTGGATCAGCCCCCTGCATGATGTGTACACGTGCCAATGGCCTTCTGGTTACTGATCACACATTACTGATTATCATAAATAATAATTAGTATTAACCCAAAGAATAATAAGTCATTTCAGTAATTAAATGCATTCATAATGAACCATGATGATTATTATACGATTGTAATAAACAGTTAAAAATCTTGAAGTGTCCTTCATCTTGGGACGGACTCCTGACGGCTAATCTGTGGAACAAAAGCTACAGCTCGACCCAGCTGGGAAAGTGTGACCTTTGGGTCACAAATATGAGGTCATTCATGTCGCTACAGCACTATATAAATAAAGTTGACTTGAATTGAACTGCATTGAATTGAATCCTCCCCCGACCAGACTGACCCAAATGTGTAAGTACCAACATAAGGCCGTTTGGGTCCACCTTATATCTCCAATCTTTTAGATGTCCTTTACTAAACTAAAACCACAGAATTTGTACCAAACAATCGTACCCAGTATTAAAAACATGAAATTTACCATAAAAGTTGATCCAACAGTAATAAAACTTAACAAATGTGTTATAAACGCTAACCTTAGGACAAGGAATTAAACAAACCAAGTGGGTGTTTTTATTATAACATGGGTTGTTATGACCATAAACTAGCAAAGTTAAGACTGAATTTACGCGTTTGACTTCAGGAATTTAGCTTTGATTTGTTTTCATTTAGCGGCTTATTGTCAGTGGGTACTGCTCAAGTAGAAAACATGGATCCTATCATTGAGACGAGCCTCGTCCCATACATGTGCAGTTTGCATAGAATGGTGAACATTAAGCATGTTTTTGGAACAACCTTGTTGCTGAAAATGCTCGTGGGCCTGGTACCAGGTCTGTCGGGGTCAAGTTGTGTGATGCAAAAGAATGGGAATTTGGCATCCCCTAGTGGTGATATGTGGTTAGCACATCTCAAAACGAACTTAAAAATGGTACCCAAAAAAACCCGCCAGCTGCCACTTGTTCCAGAGCCAATAATATGTGAGTGTGTGGGGTTGCCAGGTCTGTGCTGACAGCAGCTGCTACAGAAGCATTCCTAATTCTCCAGAGCTCCAGGTCAGTGGAAAGAAGGGCAGCTAATGAACAGGAGTGACCGAGACGTTGTTTCTTCTATCCCTAATATTCAAATGTTACTCCAAAGTGTTTGGGCTCTACAGATTCTCATGCGTGCACGAGCTCCCACGTGCAAGCAAAGACACACACACACACACACACACCAATGTTTTGAGCAAAGCACTTTTGTTAGGTTGAGTGTGATTTGCGCATGTGCGCTCCTCAAAACGTGGTTCTGGCAACATACCTTTTCTTTTCCACCTCAACCCACAGCTTCCGTTTTAGAGTCACAGTGAAAAGAGCAAGAGCAAAAGAAAAAATACCTAGATGTGTATTCAGGGCAGATGCACCCATGCTAACTCTGCAGACATTTGTTTGATCCCTCTCTACGTTTCAAAGAGCAACACTGTTGTTTTAAAGGACTTTGCGCATGTTTAATAACTGTAGTGTTATCACTTTAGTTTATATGTAATTTATAATGTAATGACCCCGCTCACTGCGGGAGCTTCAGTGGGTGAGGTGCATTGTGGGTAGTCATGTTCTTAGTTATTATCCACCAGCTCAGTGGCCTGGTAGTGAAGTGTGCACTCTGGGAGATCGGGGTTGAAATTCTGGTCGGGTCGTACCAACACTCTAAAATTGGGACCCAAGGCCTCCCTGATTGACACCCAGCTTTTCTTGGTTGGATCGGGGGGTTAAACTACCAAATAGTTCCCGAGCACGACCGCTGCTGCAGCTCACCTCTCCCCAAGGGGATGGATCAAACGTGGAGATGTATTTTCACCATTGTGTGTTGATGGCTAACAGGACGTTACCTTTATGACTTTGTTCACTGTTGCAGATTTAGTGTTACTTGTTGTGTTGTACTGGCACCATAAAGCCTAATTTATACTTCTCTGTGAGCTCCACAACGGAGACGCGCGCTGGAGTGTCGGAAAGGTTTTCACATTTGAACTTCTGTTCAGGCAGCGGAGTGTTGCAAAGCAGTTCCCCGCCAGGACACCAGAGGGCGTAGCGCTGTTCTGTGGTGTCCTGCCACCACACCACTCATGTATCTGGTGTATTCACTAATGTGTTTATAGATTTCAGACACCTCCAAACCCACATTTTACATCATTTCCATCCACGTTTCCTCCGTATTTTGTACTCCTTCACTCTCGGGTGAATCAATGCTTTTGCATTCTGACTTTTTCCACGACGTGTTCTTCGATCTGTTTGGGGTCTGCTGCTAAATATCTGTTTACTTTTTAATGGCGCTACAGTGGTGCTGGTGACGAATATACAGGAAGCAGCGTCCTGACCAGTCACAAGCTTGCGTTCTCCGTCACTTTCGACGGATGTTTACATTTTCGGGCGTGTCTCCGTCACCCTCTGTGAGCCCTCGGAGAGCCCTTGCACCGACGCATAATGGCGTTGCGTGTGTCCACACCGACGCAGACGCAGATGTGTGAATCAGGCTTTAGTGAGGAGGTCGGTCAAAGGGACAGAACTGCTGTGCCGTACCAACGGTCAAAATTAATAAAACGCCTACAATCAGTTCCATGTGTGTCACCTTTCCTGGCTCTCCGCAGTCACGTGATGTATGACAATATTTACATGATGACAACTGCAATTATTCACTTGAGATAACTTAAAAGGTCAAATTTCGTCACAGTCAGATTTTCTGGTTAGATTTAATCAAATATTTACATTAAGTAAAAAAACATCCAACCTAATTTTTTTTATAAGAAGCAACCTGTAATAATTGAGTTGCTTCAACTACAAACATTACTTCACTTGAAGGTAAGAAACTGAGGTTACACCAAATATTTATTTATTATTTATATTTATCAGGTCAATGCTAAAATGTTGGGTGTGATTAATTCCTTACTTCCTGAGGCAGTGTCACATGTTTTCCGTGCGTTGGCTTGGAATAAAAACAAGGAAAATTGTTTCTTGTGTTGCACCTTCTGCACTGTAACTCCTCCGCATTTACCTGTGCACGTTTACTTGTTCCTTATTTCAGATCTGACTATAATCTGCTGTTTTATGTTGAGGTTTTATGTTGGTGCTGATCTTGCCTCTGGAAAGCACTTACACAGCTTCTGTGTATGAAATGTACAAATAAAGCTGCCTTGCTTTCAAGCGCTTGTGAATAAATGAAAACTATGACGTTCTTACGTGAGTTAAAAGTGAGTTTATTCAGAATTCTGCTGCTCAGCATGTAAATAAAGCATCACCGTGTTGAGCTAGAATCTGGTGGAAACCAGCCAATTAAAGGTTTAAAAAAACAAAAAACGAAAGATGCACCTCTGGAACGAACAAGCCCGGAACCGCCTCATCCAGTCCTCAACATCTGGATCAAACTGCTCCACTTCACGCGCCACCTTCCTGTTAGGGTAGCGCGTCGTGCTGCCCGGTGTTGTACCGTTTTCTGTAACCATCACCGGGAGGAGCCGGAAGAAAAGGGGGTGGACGTTATTTTTTATGTTAAATCCATTTTTCCAACAACATTTTAGCTGGTTTCTAGTCGGGCCGGTTGAAGCTGAACGTCGCCTGCTCTCTCTCCTGTAGCGAGTCTAAAATCCCTGATCGAGCATTTTTGCGCTTGTTTTTCTTTTAAACTATAAATGAATTGATTTCACATTTAAAACCAAACCAAGCGTCCGGCAGCAGGCCCAGTTCTTGGTTCGTTCACACCGACCTGCAGAAACTCACTTTCATCATCATACTCTTCTTTTCGTTTGGTTTTTTCATTTGTTAAAGCTCTCTAGCAGAAATAGCATGACAGCTGGCCCAAGGGCGCTGATCTGATCCGGAACCTCCGAACTGGACCCGAGGCGCGGAGAGACATTCAGCAGCTTTCTGGTGTGAAGAGATGTTTTCACCCAGGTGCAGCACTTTTATTCGTAATAAACAAACCAGCAGCCGCGGCCCAGCGGGCCTGTTGCGCTGAGTGGTTCCTGTTGTGGGTAAAGAACCGAACCTGAAACAGAACCGGTGCTAAGACCAGAGCAGACGTCAGGGGAATATCTCCTCAGGTTCGCTCTGCAACATCACCGCTCACGTCTGCTCATCTAATCACCCTGATGCTCGGTCCCCGGGTGTGTTTGCGGGATTGGTGGCTGACAGACACAAGAGGGCGTGTTGGCGCGTGCCTGAGCTGCCGCCGTGCGTCCCGGTCCGGCGGCGCGTCCTGATTGAAGGCTCCTGCTGAAAAGCTCTGCTTCGCTGTGCTTCAGGAGCAGCTCTGACAGGTAGTCCGGCCTTTAGGGGCTCTGAAGGGATGTGACACGGTCCGCTGTCCGTGCTGCGTGCACGTGCACGGCCCGTGCAATATGCAAATGCAGCTGCAGCATGTGAGGGGCTAGAGAGAACACGGGCCACGGTTCAGTCCTGACTTTTCTTTATTCACGTTGACAAACATTTCCTAAGATCCGAATGAAAATGTTCGTTTTATTTATAAAGATATTTAAAATTTAAATGTAGAAATAAAATTAAAACAGCCTTTAAACGGTCAGGAGCGATGTGCAGCAGAGGGCCCAAGAATGTGTGTGTGTGTGTGTGTGAGTGCGCGCGCGCGCCTTTGCTCGCACGTGGGAGCTCGTACACGTTTGAGAGTCTGCAGAGCCAATCCGCTGTTCATGCAGATGACGTGCTGATGTCCTACGTCAGCCCCGCCGCTTGCCAGGATCAGAGCTGCACACACACACACCGGTGGAAAACACACACACACTTCCTCACCGAGGCTGGACCGCAGCGCTCCCGGCCCGAGGCGGAGCGCAGACCCCGGCTTCCAGGCGCCGCAGCCCGCGGAGACAGTGGACCTCACATCGCCTTACTTTACAGACATGGGAGACATGGGGGACCCGCCGAAAAGTAAGACGCGCTTTGATTGTCACCGTCCGAACTTCCTCTCATGTAGTCAGGCCTTTTAACTGGCTTCCGTTTAAAACCCGCGAAGAAGAAAGTTAGATCTGCTTTCAGGCCCGTAGGAGCTAAAATAGTTTAATGACGTCAATTTAACTATGATGACGCTATAATAATAACAATAATAATAATGATAATAATAATAACAATTATTATTATTATTATTATTATTATTATTATTATTATTATTATTATTATCATCACGACAACACCACGGTGTCTTGCTGTCCTTGCAGAGAAGCGGCTGGTGTCTCTATGCGTGGGGTGCGGGAACCAGATCCATGACCAGTACATCCTGCGGGTCTCCCCGGACTTGGAGTGGCACGCCGCCTGTCTCAAATGTGCTGAGTGCAGCCAGTACCTGGACGAGTCCTGCACGTGCTTTGTCAGGGACGGAAAGACTTACTGTAAACGGGACTATATCAGGTAGGACGACCGGGACGGGACGGGACATCTCTACCGACCAGAACCGGAGGGCCACGGAGACTAGAATTATAGACATTTGTTTTATGTACCGAGAACCAGCTGATACTGGGCTGGTTCTCCGTCCGTGGAGTTCTGGTTCTGACTGAAAGACGTCGTGTCTCTATCCAAACTTGAAGAACCAAAGTTTCTGTCCATGAGAATCATGGGACCACCACACACACACACACACACACACACACACACACACACACACACACACACACACACACACACACACACACACACACACACACACACACACACACACACACACCTTAACGATAAGTGGTATCATGTTAAGAGGAAACAACGATGAGAAAAAAACCAAAATAATTTACTTGTCATGAAAACCAGACCCTGTTCTAACATGTAATGTTTTACTGTGTGTGTGTGTGTGCGTGTGTGTGTGTGTGTGTGTGTGTGTGTGTGTGGGACAGGTTATACGGGATAAAATGCGCTAAATGTAATATCGGCTTCAGCAAGAATGACTTCGTGATGAGGGCTCGGTCCAAAGTCTACCACATCGAGTGTTTCCGCTGCGTGGCCTGCAGCCGACAGCTCATCCCGGGAGACGAGTTCGCTCTTCGAGAGGACGGACTGTTCTGCCGAGCCGACCATGACGTGGTGGAACGGGCCAGCTTGGGCAGCGGAGACCCGCTCAGCCCGCTTCATCCAGCCAGACCGCTGCAGATGGCAGGTACAGGGCGGGGAGGGCCCTGGTTCGGATGGGTCAAACTACACATTTATAAACAGTTACAGCAGACTGCGCTCCTGCAACCGTCGGTTAACATTTAAGTGATGTCCGTAAACCCGCAGCAGGGTTGCGCACCGCGCGCCTGGTCGCTGAGCAGCACCGGCGTGCTGAGGCAATCCGGACCGGGCCTCAGCCTCAGTGTCGGCGCATCCAACACGCGCATCAGTGCACAGCGTTTGGTTGTGTGTGCTTTCATGTCACGTGTCTCAGAGTGGCCCAGGTGGACTAGAGTCCGGTCCTGATTCAGTCTCCAGTCCCCCTCCCCACCGATAGATCAGGACTGGTTCTGGGTCTGAATGACTACACGATACCATAAGTATGTGGTTCTGATTCTGCGCCCTGATGCATTAATTCTGCTGGACTGTCTCCATCTTGTCCAACAGCAGAACCGATCTCCGCTCGGCAGCCTGCGCTGCGACCACACGTCCACAAGCAGCCGGAGAAGACCACCCGGGTCCGGACGGTGCTGAACGAGAAACAGCTGCACACGCTGCGGACCTGCTACAACGCCAACCCGAGACCCGACGCCCTGATGAAGGAGCAGCTAGTGGAGATGACCGGCCTGAGCCCGCGGGTGATCCGGGTCTGGTTCCAGAACAAACGGTGCAAGGACAAGAAGAAGAGTATTCTGATGAAGCAGCTGCAGCAGCAGCAGCCCAACGACAAGACGGTGAGGCACCGCGGAAACACACACACACACACACACACACCGTGCGCGCGCGCGCACTGACCACAGCTGCCCTTTCCATGCAGAACATCCAGGGCATGACGGGGACCCCGATGGTCGCGGCCAGCCCGGAGCGGCACGACGGCGGGATCCAGGCGAACCCGGTGGAGGTCCAGAGCTACCAGCCGCCCTGGAAGGTCCTCAGCGACTTCGCCCTGCAGAGCGACATCGACCAGCCGGCCTTCCAGCAACTGGTGCGAGCTGCCCTCCTCACCTCTAGAACCTGTTAGAACTCAGCCTGTTCCAGATCTAGAACCTTCCGTGTTCCAAGTCTGTTTTATCAGTTTTAAACTCCGTCACCACACCACGCTCATCTAGAATGACCCTACATCCGTCCAGCTCACGGTTCCGTAGAATCAATTCGGACTGCACATGTACGCAAATCATTTTAATGTTCTCTCAGACAGGAGAAAACTAAAAGCGTTCCCCTCATCCTGCTGTCTTCTGCAGCAGCAGACCCGCGCGGCCCGGGTCCTGGACCCGAGAACCGCCCGGGACGGCGTCTGTCCTTCTGATCAAGGAAACCAGACCCGGAACGTGGTCTCGCTAGACCGGGACCCTGAGGCTGTGCGCCGCTCATCAGACTGTTTCTCTTTTCACTCATGATGATGATGATGATTATTATTATTATTATTATTATTATTATTAATAATAATAATAATAATAATAATAATAATAATAATAATAATATTATTATTATTATTATTATTAGTAGTAGTATTATTATTAACAATAATAATATAATAATATTAATATAAGTATGAATAAAAATTACTATTACTTTTTAATACACATTATTATTATTATTATTATTATTATTATTATTATTATTAATATTAACAACAACAATAATAATAACAATATAAATATGAATAAAAATTACTATTATTTTTAATACACATTATTATTATTGTTATTATTATTATTATTATTATTATTATTAACAACAACAATAATAATAACAATATAAATATGAATAAAAATTACTATTATTTTTAATACACATTATTATTATTTATATTATTATTATTATTATTATTGTTATTATTATTATTGTTGTTGTTATAACATGAGGGAGGTGAAGGTGAAGACCTAAAACCAGCTGCTGGTTGGGCCTGATGTTAATAATATAATTCCATGTTTATTTTTATTTTCTGGCTGTATGTCTGTCACGCGCACATTAACGGCAGTGCGCAACACCCCGCATCTCTCGCGGCTCCGGTAACAGTCTCATGCGTCCTGCAGGTCAGCTTCTCGGAGGGAGGACCGGGGTCCAACTCGACCGGCAGCGAGGTAGCGTCCATGTCGTCCCAGCTTCCCGACACGCCGAACAGCATGGTGTCCAGCCCCATCGAGGCCTGAGCGGCCGCACCGGCGCGCGGACCGAAGCACCGTCCCATTCCTCCGACAGCACCCAGCAACCCACCGGTTGTATGTTGACACTGTGAAGACAATCATGGGATTTATCACAGCCACCCGCTCATCCCGACCCGGCGGACGGACGCCCGGTGGCCGGTGCTGGCCATCCTCTCGCCTTACAGTTGCCAAAAAGAGAAGACGGAATGGGAATCTAAAAGACAGACTGCACGCGCTCAGCGGCTCTGAGCAGAAACTGGTGATTTTTTATCTCATCCATCCTGATAATGACCGAACGGTCCATTTGGAGGAGAACGGCTCCGGTTCTGCTCCAGTAATTGGTTTCCTTCATGGCCCACGAGGCACTTGCAACAAGGTATACCTCTCCCGCCAGGCTCCGTGGGACGTGTTTGAGGTGGTGTCCGTCCAGACCAACAGGCGTTTTCTTTTCTGTCCCAAAGATGTGTAAATTACTCACGAGTTAGCTCTCTGAACCAAGATGGTGTGTGTCTGTCCCCGTGCAACAGAATTATTTATTATTTATTGCCGATAAATTTGCCACCTTTTGTGTAACTTTCGTAAATGAAGTAAAAAAGAAGATATTTGAGTTTGTTGCGTTTGAGTTCAGTTTCATTCTAAAGACCCCCCCCCCCCCCCCCCCCCCCGTTGCCCCTCCGCTCCCAGAACGAGCTCTCATCAGTAACTTCATTATAAACACGATTATTAGAGTTTTACAGCCGTCTGCATACACACCTGTGACTCCGGAGTCCGATCAAAACTCGGATGGCTTCTGCTGGTCAGAGTGTTTGGTTCCAGCCCAGATGTGGTTCGGATCACACCAAACTAAAACCAGACCCAAAACACTGTTTTAGATACTGGTTCTGGTGATTTTCGGGACTTCTGATGATTAATTAGTAACACTGACATATTTTATGTCTTCACCATCGGGTCACCTGAGATCAAAGCGGGATGAACAAGGATGCTGCTGAGGCTCCATCTTTAGAGCAGACTGGAGTTTCCTGGATAAGGCCACGGGAATCACACCGGCAACCGACGTTCAACAACAAGTTCATTTAAAACGTCCAAGTTTAGATTAGAGCACGTGAATGTGTCTCAGCTCCTGGAGCTAAATCTGTTTTCACCAGTAAAAGATCTTCTTTACTTATCTGAAAGAAATAATAATAATAATAATAATAATAATAATAATAATAATAATAATAACAAAAGCAGTTATTCCACCAGACGATACGTTTTTGTGTGCAAGAGGCTTTCTAAATCTATCCAGCTGCAGGATCTCTGTGAATGTTTACTTATTCAGTTTCCTCCATCGATCCTGACAGATGCGTCATAAATCAAACGGCCACCAGGGGCTGCTTGTCAAACAGAAGCAAAGATTAGATCAAACAACTCACTAAGGACCTGGACCTCAGAACTCAGAGTGAACAGGAAAGAGGGAAACCAGTGGATCCTGAGGAAGGTGGAATAGGTGGGGAGAGCAGAATAAAGAGAGAGAGGTGAAGAAGGTCATACAAAAGCCAGCTTGAACAAGTGAGTCTTCAGCTGCTTTTTAAAGGAGACCACTGAGTCCACTGATCTCAGGCTCAGGGGGAGAGAGGTCCAGAGTCTGGGGGCCACAGCAGCAGATGATCTGTCACCTTTGACCTTTAGCCTGGTGCTGCACAACCAGTAGGCTTTGGTCACTGGACCTCAGGGACCTGCTGGGGGTGTAGGGACTAAGAAGATCACCAATGTAAGATGGTGCTTGTCCATGTAAGGCCCTATAGACCAGAACCAGGATCTTGAAATGAACCCTGAAGGTGACTGGCAGCCAGTGAAGCTGGAGGAGAAGCGGGGTGATGTGGGTGTGTTTGGAGGACTTGGTCAGAAGCCGAGCACAGGCGTTCTGAACCACCTGTAGACGGTTCAGGGAGGTTCTGCTCAGACACGTGAAAAGAGAGTTACAGTAGTCTAAGCGTGAGGAGATGAAGGTGTGGAGAACTGTCTCAAGTTCAGAGCGGGACAGAATGGGACTCAGCTTAGCAACGTTCCTGAGATGGAAGAAGGAAGAGCGAACAAGAGAACTGACATGAGAATCCAGGGTGAGAGCTGGGTCAAAGGTCACACCAAGATTCCTGACAGAAGGTTTGGTGTGAGAAGCAAGCTGACCAAGAGAGTCTCTGACTTTGGGAACCAGCTTGTCTGGGGCATAGATGAGGACCTCAGTCTTATCTTCATTCAGCTGAAGAAAGCTCCCACCATCCAGGTTTTGATAGAGTCTAAGCAGGTGTGTAACAGCTGCAGCTTAGACATCTCATGGGGCTTAAAGGAGATGTACAGTTGGATGTCATCTGCATAAAGATGGTAGGAGATTCCTTTGAAGGAGCTCAGGATGTGCTGAAGAGGAAGCAGATAGAGGAGGAAGAGCAGAGGTCCCAGCACAGAACCTTGTGGGACACCATGGGTAAGAGAGGTGGTGGAGGACCTAAACTTGGAGACGGCCACAGAAAAGGAGCGCTCAGAGAGATAAGAGGAGAACCACTCCAGAGCAGTTCCTGATAGACCTACCCAGTCTCTCAGCCTCTCCAGTAGCAGGTGGTGGTCAACAGTGTCAAAGGCTGCAGTCAGGTCCAGCAGGACCAGAATGAGAGAGGGAGGTATAGCATTCAGAGACATGTAATATATCTATCTATATACATATATACACATATATATATATATATATATATATATATATATATATATATATATATATATATATATATATATGTATATATATATATATATATATATATAAAATCACCGTCATCCTCTTTATTTCTTCGGGCACAAAAAATAGTCCACAGAAAGGATAAAAGAGAAAGATACAAACACATAAAATACAATAACACGAAATAAAGATAATAGTCATACGTACAGACAACTCCTCCACTGTTTCCCCAATTTAGATAAAAACCGAGCCGAGCTCTGATTTATATTGGCCAGGCTGACAATGATACTGTTGTCAGAGACTGATAGTCTGCACATGCATCTGTATATAAGATTACGACGCACTGCAGCAAAACAAGGAAATCAGCATACATAACATCTGGGTTGCACTACTCGAACGAGGAATCCTCTACAGAGACCTCAGCCCATCATTGTATGCTACTTGTAGTTTTTGTAGACTGCTTTTCCTGTATATAAATGGGCAGCATTCAAAATGCTTTCACCAGTGTTAATTTAACAGGAACGGAGCACATAGAGAATTTTCGTATGGGCGTGTTGACCTGCACATATTGCCGGCAGCACTGCTTATATATATCCCTATCATCTGACAGGTCCACAGTCAAATAGTGCCCCAAGTATTTAACTTCATCACATACTGAAAGAATACCGTCTGATAAAAGAAAGTCAGGGAAGGTGAGCTTTTTATCTTCTCTGCTCCTGACCATCATAACACTGTTTTTTATTGGATTTGATGTCAAACTCAACCATATTGTGAGCATATTACTAGCAGTTGTTGCAAGCCAGCACTCTATGGGCTGAAGATTACCAAATCATCTGCATACACCAGGTGATTCACAGTAGTATCCCCAACATTACAACCAGTCCTACAGGTCATCCATATACACGTTAAAAAGGCAAGGAGACAAAATGCTGCCTTGCCGTACTCAATTACTCACAGAGAAGGCATCGGATACAGTACTCCCCCATTCAACAAGCATGCTCTGATGGGAGTACCAATATGTTAAAATCCTAATCAGATAGTTTGGGACTTTTCTACAAAGCCGTTCATGGAACAGCTTTTCATGATTAACTCTGTCAAATGCTTTCGGAAGCATCAATAAAACATGTAAAAATAGTTGTGTTGTGCGTATTATACAAATCCAAGATTTCTTTCAGTGCTAAAATACACGTATCTGTGCCTAACGTAGACTTAAATGCAAACTGATTGTCAGATGTTACAATAAACTTCTCCAGCCTTAACAGCAGGGCTTTCTCCAGCGCTTGGACAGAGTACTGGCCAAGGCAATGGGCCGATAGTTATCCTCATTATTAATTTGACCTGTTTTATCCTTAATTACAGGGACTCAAATAACTGACAGCATAGAGTTAGGTAGAATACCATGAACTAGGAGTCCTGTCAAGCTAATAGCCAAAAGCGGGTACCATTTCTCGCTTGCTAACTTTAAATGTTCCGCAGAGATATTGTCCGCACCACATGACCCATTTCTTTTGAGTTTCATCACAATATCATGAACCTCTTGCGTGGAGATAGTTGCACCCTCATGATCTTCTACACTATCTATCTGTGGGGGGTTACATCCAAGACAGTTGAACAATTCTGAGAAATGTTTAAACCATAACTGAGCAATCACCTCTGATCCATTTGCCCCGTCTATATTTGTTGGCAAGGGTACTTTGCATACATTCATTTCCCTTATTTCCTTCCGGAACTCATTGGGGCACTGATCCTGAAGTTTTCTTGCCACTGAGTCATTCCTAAGCATGTCTCCGTTCCTTTTCACAAATCACAGAGCCCTTTTTACATTAGTACCAGTGTGTTGTTAGTGTTAAAACACTGGGCCCCATTTAGGTTCACCTGCTTCAGCCCATAGTCTATAAGCTCTTCTAGCCTCCACATAAAGCTCCTCTACATGTTCATTCCATCCTGGCTTCACCTTTTTATAGAGGGGCCTACTTGAAATAAGTAGAGAATTGATCATTTCTTCATAAAGAACACAAAAGACCATGTTGTGCATTGTCACAGTCTACATCACAGCAAGTGAAAACCTCATTTGGCAACTTAATTTTGCTTAGCAAGTCATCAGTCCTACTACAATACCGATCTAGGTCCTGTCTGGTTAAGTAATCCCAATTCTATCTCTCTCCTCGCGGTGCATCATCCGTGGACACAAGGGCTGGTATATTACCCACACTGATCTTGATGCAAAATGGTATATGATCCGATATAGCAAGGTCAGCCTTTATACTAATATTTCCCAAAGACTCGTGTGCATCTTTAGAACAGATACAGTGGTCCAGCCAGGATGTTGTCAGCCAACCTTCACTAATATAAGAGTAGCTATCCACAGGTAATAGTACTTCACTGGCGCGAATCGGACCATTTTCTGTACAGAACTGCTTCAGGTATTGACCAAAAGTAGAATTGTTGTTTGACACATCCGCATTCATATCACCTACCGTAAACAGACAGGTATGAGGGTTGTCCTGGATGTAAGATGTAATATAAGCCAGCTTACTCAAATATTCATCTTCACTGTGTGGGCATTCACAGGGTGCATATGAGAAATTCCTTATCCTCACATTTAAACTCAAGACCTGTAGCCCAACCTACCCTCAGCCTGATTACTTCGATCAGCTGGTCAAACTTTTTATGCCACAGCACAGCTTCTCCTCCAGGTATTCTCCCTGTCAGTAGCTCAGAGTTATAGTCAGTAGTGCACTCCCCCACTCCATAAAAGTCTTTATGCAAACATTTTAATTTGTCTAAATCTTGCTTAGATAAAAAAGTCTCTTGGAAACATCAAATATCACACATGTCCAGAAGCGTGTCCACTGTGGAACGGCGTAGCTTGTCCACGTCCGTATGTCCCACCCTCAATC